TTATTTATATACCTTTTATTATTAGCTAAAAATTGAAAACTAAATGAATTCAAAATAAAATTATTACTTAATTAATAAGATAAATAAAATTAAAAAGTCTTATTTAAATTTAATTTGAATCTTATAAAGTAAAAAAACTTTTAGATTAGGTCATTTATTTAAATTTTAAAATAATAAGTAAAAAAAATCAAAAAATAAATTAAAAAATGACATCCACCATGCGTCAATATTACAGCCTATATTCATTTATTTTTATTTTGATGGAATATTTTCAAATTATCAGCATCAGCATCCCTCAATTTTAAATACTCTATATATACTCTTCTTGAGTACTCTATTGCGCCAAACAAAGATATGAGGATCTTCACAAAGCTCTCTGAACCACTCTGCCTCCTTTTTGTCTTCCTCTGTCTTAAAACTGCCTTCTCATCCTCTATGCATGCTTCTTCCTTCTCAACAATGCATCTCTGCCCTCATGAGGAGGCTCTTGCTTTGCTGCAATTCAAAACATCCTTCTCGATCGATTACACTGTTCATCATTGTGAGCAAAATTATTCTAAGATTGAGTCATGGAAGGAAGGTATAGACTGTTGTTCCTGGGACGGGGTTAGCTGTGATAATGTCACAGGCCATGTAATTGCCCTTAATCTCAGCTGCAGTTTCCTTTATGGCACCTTTCCTTCCAACAGCACTCTTTTCTTCCTCAGAAACCTGCAGAGCCTCAATCTTGCCTTGAATGATTTTAGGCTTTCCAAGATTCCACCAGAAATCAGTCTGTTTACTAGACTAAAGCATCTTAATATCTCTTATTCTCAGTTTTCTGGTGCCATTCCTTTTCATGTTATTAGTTTTTCCAAACTAATATATCTAGACTTATCTTATAACTTACTTAATGGCACGTTGCCACCTTGGATTTTCACCCTACCTTTGTTAGAGTACTTGCAACTCAATCATAACCAATTTCAAGGTCAAATAAATCAATTCCAGCAAAATTCACTCACACACCTAGATTTGTCAAACAATAAACTCCAGGGCTCAATTCCTAACTCAATTGCTAATTTAGTAAATCTTAGTTATCTTAATTTATCATCAAATCATTTTAGTGATTTAGTAGAAGTTGACAATAATCTGTCCTTGAGAATTAATGTCAATGCCAACTTCACATTACCCAAACTAACTCATGTTTCCTTTTCATCTTGTAACTTGAGTGAATTCCCCAATTTCATAAGACATTCAAATGGTCTGCAAAGCCTACTGCTATCCAAAAATAGCATTCATGGAAATATTCCCGAATGGATATGTGAAAAGGATGATCTCAAAATTCTTGACCTTTCTCATAACAATTTGATTGGGGGGATTCCAAATTGTCTTCCTAAGTCTCTCTTAGTGTTGAAATTGCAGGCCAATTACTTTGATGGAAATATACCCTTTGGGTTTGCAGAGGGCTGTGGATTACGAAATCTCAACTTACATGGAAATCAAGTGGATGGCTTATTACCAATGTCTTTGGTGAATTGTCGCATGTTAGAAGTTCTAGACGTTGGCAACAACAACATAAGTGATACATTCCCTCATTGGTTGGAATCTCTACCACACCTTCAAGTGCTTCTCTTAAGGTCCAACAAGTTTCACGGTTCTGTGCAGAGCACCAAAGAAAGTCCATCTTTTCCCAAGTTGCGTGTTCTGGACCTCTCCAGCAATTATTTTGTTGGTGCTTTGCCTGTTCGGTACATTGAAAATTTTAATGCAATGATGGACCCTCATAAAGACGGTGGTTCCCCTGAATACATGATGGTGTCGACGAAAGCCAATCCTTATCAATATTCACTGGTTGTGACATGGAAGGGATTCGACTATGAGCTGCAGGGAATCTTGACCTTATTCAGTAGTATTAATCTCTCAAATAACATGTTTGAGGGAGAAATTCCAGATGTTATTGGAAAGCTTAGTTCTCTCAAAGCGCTTGATCTTTCTTATAACAACCTTACTGGTCATATCCCACCGTCAGTAGGGAATTTGACGAATCTGGAATGGTTGGATCTCTCTTCCAACAAGCTGGGCGGGGAAAATTCCTGATGAATTGGTATCTTTGACACAACTCTCTGTATTGAATCTTTCAAATAATCATCTTGTCGGGCTCATACCACAGGGCAATCAGTTCAACACCTTTGGAAATGGTTCTTATGAAGGAAACCTTGGACTGTGTGGAATCCCATTGTCAAAATCTTGTGATGGAATTG